ACAGATACAACAAATAAATAAAATTTAAAAAAACATACATCATTCAAAATCAACAGGTAGGTACATTTATAACTCTGCTCAGGATCTAAAACATTTATAACTCTACACAAAATAATTTATAATTCTTACCAACTTATTTATATTTATCGAACTTATAAGTTTAAAATAATTATCGAAATATAATGTGAGCCATAAGGGATTAGAAATCTAATTTGGCAGATCAATTATTTTATTGGCTACTTAACAAATATTTGTATATACACATATCAGTTCCATTTAATTTGTGTTCAATTAATATTGATAGTTGATACCGATTATTAAACAAAATATACAAACATATCAAACTATAAATAAAAATAAATAAAAAACATAACTAGCAATTTATAAATCAAATCATTTTGATATAAGAATAGGTATGAATATGCAAAATAAAATTTTTTAGTGCCATTTACAGCAATTATTTCATATAATTTCATTATTTATGGATCAATTAAAATAGTTGTGTTACATAATATAATCATTTAATTAATTTAAGTGCCTATTTAATTAGGTTTATAGGTACTAGGTACCTCTTAGGTAATTAAATGTAAGATGTCATAACAAAATATAATAGGTATAAACACAATTTAAAATACCAAACAAATAACAAAAATCCAAAACCTATAGTTTCTATAGGTAGGTAGTATACCTACATAGGTACAAAGGTAAAGCTACTTTAGTTTAGTAGGAATATAAAAAGATCCATAGATAGTTGTAGAAAAAAAAAATAATGGATAGGTAACTAAGTGAGTAATAATAAAATTATTGTTAGTATCAAAATAATATATAATCAATAGTTGATGTTAGGTAGGTATCACAAGTGTTGTTTAAAAATTGCACATATAGGCAGTGTTGTAAAGTATTTGAATAAAAGTATTCAAATACTTTTTTASGTATTGAATACTTTTTAAAATACTTTTATTTTTGAAGTGTTTGAACGGTATTTTAAATACATTTTTTTAGTATTGAATACTATTTTATTGAATACTTTTTTTATTCCTTTAATTCTTTATTCATTGTCAAATAATAATAACGTCATAACTCATAATA